CCCAGAAGGTCCTGGTCAGAGATGTGCTGCAGACACTAAGAGATCACGGATGCAAGCCCAGACTACTATACCCAGCAACGCTTTCAATCATCATAGACAGAGAAAACAGGACATTCCGTGAGAAAACAAAATTTAAAAATTACCTATCCACAAATCCAGCACTACAGAAAGTGCTAGAAGGAAAACTTCAACCCAAGGAAGTTAGCTGCACCCACGGAAACACAGGCAACCAGTAATCTCACACCTCACAGTAGCTGTCCTTGAGATTCTTGACTGCAGCTTAAGTTCAGCAACTTATTTACATTCCAACATTCACCTCCTTGGGTTTACTCTCTGGTCTAATAATTCATTATTCTTCTTTAGATTAATATTTTACCTGTGCCTTTCCAAAATTATTTTTTGCTATTTTTTTTTCCTTCGCACTCACTTTTTTCCATCCTTTGTGTGTGGACAGGTCATGTGTACATAAGTAAAGCTTTGCAGTCACTATCTGTGATTCTGAATCTTGTCTACCAACTTGATGGGACTTGAAATCACCTAGAAGATATATATTGGGGTGTGTCTTTGAGGGGCCTTCTGGAGAGGTTTAGCAGAGGAGGAAACACTCTTCCTGAATGTGGTGGCTCCATTTACTTCCTGGGTGGAGTTCTGAGACTGAAAAACAAAGAAAACCTGAAGAAACAGAATTTAGGACTAGCTTTCATCTCATCTGTATCCTGACTGTGGATACAATGTGGATACAATGTAGCCAGTCATCTTCCCCTCGGCTCTAAGATTCTGCGCAAGGCTGAATCACACCCTTAAACTGTGAGTGTATATCCACCATAATTTCCTTCTATGGACTGCTTTTGTCACAGCAATGGAAAAAGTAACTAATTTAGAAAATGATATGGTTACAGTTAGGTATGTTTAGATATAGGGGTAGTCTACAGTTTATCTCTCTATAATGAGATGAAATTGAGATACCAAGTATTTTAGACAGAAGATAGAAGGTAGCATAAAAATAAAATATTCATCAAATAAATAACAGTCCCAGCTATTGCTTATTTACTATGATGTGTTCCTGGAACTGTTATAAAGTCTTTAGGTCAATAAGTTAGTTTTGACATTCGTACTGTGGCAGACACTGTTACTATTATCTTATAAATATACGCAATAAGATAAAAGCAACCAATATGCATCGCTCCCGCATACACAGCCTGAGTCGGGTGCTGCATCAAGATACGTTTCACAGTAAAATAATACACCAAAAAAATCCTATGAAATCCATTAGCGATTGTAATTGTCATCCTCATGACGCAGACGAGTACACAAAAGCGCACAGATGTCAAGCGTGGATATGAGGAAGCTTGTAAGCATCAGGCTAGCATTAGAGGCTTTATGCCGCCTCTCCGGGGGTAGTGGAACTGATGTTTGCATTCCTGTCCCTAGGATCCAGAGACTGTGCACTGCCATTGCCCGCTACTGTCTTAGAGACAAATGCTTTGGGTCGAATTATTGAAGTTTGAGATTGCAAGAAACTTCAAAAATGACCGTTTTCAGAAAACTCCCTTTGCCTTCAGTTTTAAAAATCCTTTCTAAAATATCAGCCATTTTCTTGCAAGCTCTGTGGGATTAATCCTAACAGAGGCTATCCACCCCGGAAGTGACATGTTCCGTCTTTAGGCAATATTATTAGACATGCTAGATGCATCTCAACTCCGTTGGGGCTGAATTTTTGCTCTGAACTCACAAGACCCGAGTTTATTTTATTTCCCTCACTGGATCCCATTAAGCACAGAAGGGAATAAACATTTAGCTCCTTGATCTGTTCCATGTCCAACATCGTTCTATGCTTCCCGGCAATCATAGGCTCTGTCCTTTTGTGCAAGTTAACTTACACATTTCTATCCTCCAGAAGCATGTTTCAGATGTGTGCTGAACAGCCTAAAACACAGTAGGACTAACGATTCCCCTTTAATTCCTGGAGATGTTGCAGGAAGTTGGTGTGATGGATGGTTCTGGATTGTCAGCTTGGTGGGTTTTAGAGCCACCTAGGAGACATGTGTCTGGGATATCAGTGTGGGTACCTCCAAACAGATTAACTGAGAAAGAAGACATACTCGGAATGTGGGTGACACAGTACAGTCTCTAGTGAGTTGTTTAGTTGTTACACGAGGTGTCAGGGGACTGAGATGAATGATAACACCAAAAAATAGAGAGTGAGCAGAGCGCCAACATTCACCTGGGCCGATTTCCTAGCTGCAGAATGCCTGCCCCGCCATTATGGGTGGCATCACTCAAACCATGAGCCAAGATAAATCCTTCTTGCTTTCACGAGCTTTGGTTATCTGGTTTTCTCACAACCAGGAGAAAATGAACTCTCAGAACTAGAGCTAAAGGGCTGGGTGTGGATGTGAGAGACATCTCAGCAGTTAGGAGTGCAAACTGCTCTTCCAGAAGGCTGGAGTTCTGTTCCTAGCACCTGAGTGAGGCCGCTTGCAACAGGTGCCTCCAGCTCCAGAGGGTCTGACGTCTCCTCGTGGCTCAGTCCACGAGAATGGAAATCTGCACACACACACACACACACACACACACACGTGCACACAGCTACACATATATACAGAAAAATTAAAAAATTAAAAACAACTCTCTTAAGAGGATAGTGACTGAACTCTGCATCTAGCTTTATTTTTCCAACAAAATCAATTTGGACATATTTCCCCAGCTCTCTAGGTTCCCATTTCCTTCTTGATCAAACATGAATAACATATGTGCCTTCTTTGTTGAGTTACTAGAGGATTAAGTGTAATCACCGAGTTAGACACGGAGAAAATTGCCTGCTGGGTAAGCCTGAAATCAGAAACCATATATAATATTAGTTAAAAATGGGAGGTTTGCTATGTATAGACATTGACACAGTAAAGAAGAGGGTTAGTCTACTTTCTCAAAGGACTTCCACTTAAAATTCGTTTTCATATTTCTTGTGAATTGACCTATGGTTGCATTGGACTCTGGAAAGCCATAAATCACGTCACGCCATGGGCGCATAATTGGATATCAAGGGAAAACCCACAAGCTGCTTCTGGGAAATGGAATCTTTTCTATTCTGTCCCACCCCAATTTAGGCTGTTCAGTCACATCCTTGGGACTCATGATCGGGTTTTCTGGAGAACAGCTCTCTGTCTCTGTGTGTTACGTGCACACGAGGAGTCTTCCTCTGCATCATTCACAAGGTCACTGATCAAACACTTGGAGGAGCAGAGTCTGGTTCAGAGCCTGCGGCCATCAACTAGAGCACTCCATTCCAGGAGTCGTTGGCTCAGTCAGAAAACCACCTAGCCTTACTCACTCACAATATGGCTTAATTTTGTTAATAAGACACTGTGGGAGATATCTGAGGGAGGCTTATCTAGATCCAAACGTCTGTTATCAATTTATGGCATTGCCCCCTTGGTAATCCCAAGTCAGTTTTTGGAAGATGGATGAACTAAGCTTATCAAAGAGCAGTTATTCTCCGAGAACCCTCACGACACTGGTAATTACCACCTTCTCTGAGGGCTCTCGGAGGCCTGCTGGAGACTCAGTTATATAATCCAAAGAGGTATTAATGGCAACTCGCTGTCTGTACCTGGAGACCTGTCTCTGTTTCATTTTGAAAGTAAAATCTTCATTTTTTTCTTTTTAATTTCTGTCATCAATCCCTTCACCACAGTAGCTACTGAGGCAGGCCAGAGCAGTTCAGAATGTTTCCTTCAGAAATTCCGACTTTTGAGGTTTCACTTCTCAAGGTCTCCTCACTCAGTGTGTTTACTGAGACGCCTCAAGACCACCAGTGTGCTAGGGATCACGCTGCCTCATGTTCCACTGGCCCTCTCCAGTCAGCACTCCCACTGGAGAAAACTGCAAGCACAAGCTGGAACCACAAGACATGTGGTCTTGGTTTTGTTTTGTTTGGTTTTGTTTGTCTGCCTGTTTCTTCTTTAGGACCTTTGCATTGATGCCATTTCTATTCTTTCGGACTCGAGATTTCCAGATTGTTCTCCTAGGTCTGTGACATTTGGGGATTTCTTTAAACACGGACCCTTCCTTTGTGTGTCCAATCAAAATTTTTTATATTATATTCTGAGTATATATCAGGGCCAGGTACTATTCCAGGCATTGAGTGTACAATAGTGAAGGACACACACACACTTCCCTTTACTTGTAGTCTATTCTCTGCTGCACATCGTTTTTAGTGAAGTTGTCCCTGTATTTTCCCCACCTGACGATGTTTTTCTTTCATTATGACAGGCTTTGGGTAGATGAACATCATTCTGCCCTTTTGAGTTGTCTCTTTGTAAGGATATTTTTAAAATGATATATATATATATGTTTCCTTGTGTTAATGTGTGTGCTTGGTACCAGAGGTCAAAGGAGTCTGTCAGATTCCTGTGGGCTGTAGTTATAGATGGTTATGAGCCACCCTAGGGGTGCTAGTAACCCAAACCAGGTCCTCTGCAATAGCAGCAAGTGCTCTAACCACTAAGCAATCCCTCCAACCCTTTGAATTATATTTTTATTACAGTCTTGGAGTCTTGGTGCTATAGTCTGCTTTTCTGGGACATCGTTATTGTAGTTGTGAGTCTGAATGCTTATGTCTGTATCTAGATGTTTTTTTTATAGCATTTCTCTCCTGTAATGTTTCTACAGTGTTAGCAGATTAGAAAAGAATTTGGGATCAGTAGGCTGTGTTCTCATTTCTGTTTATTATGATTTATTTTTTTTTTCATTTTTCTTTTTACAGACAAGATCACAGGTAGACCAGGATGGTCTCAAACTTGCTATGCAGCCAAGGATCATATATTTTGTATGGTTCCATTATCAGGCATGGTTATTTTTTCATGGACTTATTATAACACTAGATATTTGCCAACTCCAAAAAGCTTTATTTAGTACATAACAAGCTGCAATTTAGCTGATCTCTCTCTTCTGCATGCGGTCATGTTTTATTGATGATTTAAAATGCTCTTGTCTTCCAGGACTAACCCTACACTGGTCTGTGGCATCCTTGCCGTATGGACATGGAGTATGCTACAGTTTCCCCTGGACCTGGCAGGTAAAAGTATTCATATTTACACAAAGAAACAGAAAAGTATGACTCTTAAATATAAACCACACGCGTACAAAGGAGGCAGTGTTAGCTCTTACTGTAACTTAGAAGGAGGGTAGGTTGAAATTCAGGAAAGCCAATTGTAGACCCACTTGGTGTGTGGCTGAGCTTAAGGTAAATGACTGTAGCCAGGTATGGGGATGTGTTCCTTTAAGCCCAGCACTCTAGTGGCAGAGACAGGAGGAGCAGAAGTTCAATGTCATCTTTGGCTATACAGCAAGTTTGAGATCAGTCTGGTCGATGTAAGATTTGATTTCCAAAAAAAAAAAATCCAAAATTAATAACGATAAGTGCTTGAGCTGTTGACTGTGCTGTTTTATATCTGACTCCACTAATACTTCTATTATTCATTATCTGTAATCCTGCCAAAATGTATTAAGATATGTGCCTCAGCTTTTCACCTGTGAAATGGGATGATACTCACAGCATCTTATATCATTATGACTCAATAATACAGTGAGTGTCTACTGACCTCTCGATGTGCAGCCTCCATGTTTCCAGCCAGTCACATTGTGAGATGTCCCATACAAGGTAAGAGGTGCAGTTCCAAGCCCCATGTGGGAAGTTATGATTTCCTTTCATGGCAGCCCTTATTCTAATTTTAATGAACACATCAGCCTTTAAGGGTGAGAAAGAAGTAAACCGTTTGGCTGGAATGCCATGATACTGACGTCCTATAGCTGCGCTGTCCTACGGTACGGTACCCACCAATCACACATAGCTGGACGGCTTGATAGTCAATAAAGCTCAAGGAGCGACTTTTCAGTGACGCCGGCCATATTTTGCCTTCTCCCTTGCCGCATGTGGCTCCCATGCTGGGCAGCAAAGATGTGAAACAGTCTTAGCATCATAGAGAGCTCTGTGGAACGGCTGCTGCTTGGATTCACACTGTGGTTTTTTGGTCTGCTGGAACTATGACTTGGCAGTTCTTGTCCTTGGTTCGTTACTCTCGAGGAGGCCCAGACTTTAACAGTTCTCTTCTCTTCATCTATTTTATTCTGCACAACGCTCTTTCTGCTGGCTTCAGGGTGAGACTAAGACAGAATATGTGAATTTGGGGGTCCACATTAAGAGACTCGGAGGTCTTCCGAACGCTCTAGATCTTAAGCTCAGACTTTCTTGGATAAAATTGTTTCCTGAATTGATGGAAAGAGTTGCCAGACTTTTTCAAATTAGAAAAAGAGAAAGAAAAGGGTTGGGTATGGTTGGGCATGGTTGGGCATGGCAGTGCACTCCCTTGATCCTAGAACTCTGAAGACGGTGGGGTGGGAGGGTGGGGGGCGTGCATGAGGCTCTCTGGGTTTGGGGCTAGCCTGGTCTGCTTTGTGTCTTCTAGGCCAGCCACAGCTACATATTGAACTCCTTTCTCAAAAAGGAAACAAAAAAAGAGGAAAATACCCATCCAATTAATAATCACAAACAAATATATGCAAACAGCACGCAGATGTTTCGCTGAGGTCTGCCTTAGGTACATGGTGCTCGTTACCCAGCTAGAAGCCAGCCAGCTGCTCTTCAGCTAGACTCCAGGGCTCCATCCTTTATACCCTGGGCGGGAGGGGGGGGGAGTGTGGTCCACCAGGAGGGTTTCCCTGAGTGTGGCTTCTCAAGAAAGGCACTCGCTGACCTTAAGTTTGTCTTTCCTTTGTCATTCGCTCGCCCTCTCCTGTCTTGTGGTTCGCAGACTTGCTAAGAAAATTTTTATTCAAGAAAGAAATTGTGTAAACGTTCAGAGGTGATAACGCTATGCAGCTGTTTGGAAAACAAAGACCAAATGTCACTTCTGACTACACTGCTATTGTGTTCTCCAACAAGTAGTACATTATGCTCGACCCAATCAAAGTCGCTTCGTATTTGCACGCCCTTGCCAGATTGAGACATTCTTTGTTGGAAAACTCCGAAAGGAAGGCTTTATTATTACAAAGAGGATTATTTTCTACCCTTGACCCTGAATTAAATTTACATCTTTGAAATTAAAACAAAAGTTTCATCTGTTGATGGAGTCTCCTTTTGTTCAACTAACACACACACACAAACATCTGCCATTATTCTCAGTCTTGCTTATAAACTGGGAGACAAAGGCAGAAGAAATGGGGACAAAATAGAATAATGGCCATTATTATTTGAGCTCCCACACCAGACACACGCCATCACCAACATAGAAAATGATGTTTAATGTGAGTTCGATTTATATTTGAATTCTAAGCACTTGAGTGAAATATGGAAATAAGGGCCTGCTAGAGAAAGCATCCTGGACTCTGGCTGGGGACTCTGCCTTTCATATAGTGTACTTATCAGTCAAGAGAGTCCCTCATTCCTCCAGGAAGACTGAAGGAAGAAGCAGAGAGCAGAAAAAGAGACAGGGTGCTATTCCAATAGAAAGAAGACCAAATGAGGAGCAGAAGGAGGGAGAACATGAACAAGGAAGTCAGGACCACGAGGGGTGCGTCCACCCACTGAGACGGTGGGACTGATCTAATGGGAGCTCACCAAGGCCAGCTGGACTAGGGGTGATGGAGCATGTGATCAAACTGGACACTCTGTGGCTGACAATGAAGGCTGACTGAGAAGCCAAGGACAATGGCACTGGGTTTTGATTCTACAGCATGGCCTAATTTTGTGGGAGCCTGGTTTGTTTGGAGGCTCACCTTTATAGACCTGGATGGAGGGGGGAGGACCTTGGACTTCCCGTGGGGTAGGGAACCCTGACTTCTCTTAGGACTAGAGAGGAAGGGGGAGGTGGGGAGGGGAAGGAAAAAGGGAGGCGGGGAGGAGGTGGAAATTCTTAATTAAAAAGAAAATAAAACAAAAAAAGAAAAGAAAAAAGAAAACAAAAAAAGAAAAAAGAAAACAAAACAAAAAAAGAAAGAAAGAAGATGTGTAAAGAAAGAGCATGTGTAAAGGATCTATTTGCACATGTATTCCAAAGAAGCTGATAAACAGAGACCCAGGTCCTAGGAGTCAGGCTTGTCGGTGTTTCAAGGGAGAAACTGACATGCTTGTAGGTTATGCAACGTGGCCAGTATCTCAATGCTAGAGAGTGAGGCAACCAAGGGTAGTACCAGGCTCCCTTACTTGAGACCCCCAAGTACAGACAGGTCTCTGCTGCCTGTTCCCCCTGCAGATCCCCAAACACACACATAGCAGTTTCCTTTGTATCTTATGTTCTTCAGTCTGTTTAATTGGTCATTCAATACCAGGAGGCTGGGAGATGGTGCAAGGCCTTTCTTTAAAGGGGATGGAAGCACAGGGCCAGGATGTGGAGGGCTGAGGTCGAGAGACATCTCCCCCATTCCTCCCAGGCTTACACTGCACAGACGTTCTCCATCCTTCACAACCAGACCATCTATATAGATGTCTCTTCCTGTCTTTCATCTCAGAATGTTAATTGTTGTTTCTTTCATTTTTCAGTCCAGCTAAAACTGGTTTGCCCCTCTTCTGTGAAAGCCAGGGGCTTCCTCAGGCTCTTCCTGTGCCAGTACAGTGCAGATCTATGGGCCATCGGGCTCAGCTTCTTCATCCAAGATGGCCCCTTCCTTGTGGTGCGCCTCGTCCTGATGATCTACTTCCAAGTGATCAACCACATGCTGGTGTTCTTTGCCGTGAAGAATTCCCTGGTGATGGCGCTGCACTTCTATCGGCTGGTGGCTTTGATCATGGCCACCCGTGCCTCCATGCAAGGTGGTCCAGAAAGGCTCCAAGCACCACCCAGTGGCCCATACCAGCCCTCTGAGAGCAGTCCCAGTGAGTGGGAGGACACCTCCAGGGAGGCTGTGCCTTTGCAGACCTCACCTGTCACCTCTGAGGAGTCCTACCCCATACCTTAGGTGCTTGTTCCCATCATGTAGCCAGGAACTTAACTCATTTTCTTCTTAGAGCCTGGTTCTCTTTCTACCCCCACCCACATCCAATTTTCACCTACAACAGCTTTTAAGGAAGCAACATGAACAAATGATCTTGGATTACAGTCAACCTACTCTTTAATGTTTCATCTGAATGGGAGAAACTGACGCGTGCCTACTGTTACAACCTCCTACCATGGTAGCAGACATTTACCCAACTCTGAGAAATACTTGTAAGTGGTTGGTTCTCATGGAACTGTTTGGAAGGTTGTAGACAGGGCTGTCATGGCACGCCTTCCAAAGATTTAGGGCTGACAATCATCAACCTTGCCATCAACCCTCTAGGGTGACGTGGTTATACAGAGCCTCTAACCGTGGTGGGACCGTCACACTCTCTCATTGGGTGTTCTCTGTATTGCCTCTCTGATACATACATATATATCAATGTATGTATCATATATATATACATATATTGAATATATATATTCAATGAGTGCAGAACAAATGGGGGAAATGTTTTCAAAACCAGCTTGCTGTGAAGTAGAAGCTGGGAACTCATGCTGTCCAGCTTATTCAGTGAAAAAAAAATATAGCCATGGTAGCTTCACAGTCCCACCAAGGAATATCCTTCTTCTGGATCAAGGTGGTATTCTGCCATGGTACATATGTTCTTACAGAATAGTGGTAACTTCGGGCTTGGGTGCAAGAAGTTGATAGCAGGCCATTTAGGTTCGAATACCAAGTTAGTTCGCTTTTTCTGCATTGTCAAAGTGCATCACATGACCAGGTTCCAGGGAACTCTGGCAGGCAGTGATGGAGGTGTTTGTGGCCTTTAGTGTTGCCATGGTTTCCAGTGGCTGCCAACAGCCACTGCAGGAGCAGCACCTGTAGAAGAGTGAGTCACAGCTCCCGAGAAATATGGCCCCTGGTTTCAAGAACAAGGTGATGACGGCAGCGCCAGCCACATGCACAGGGTCTCCATTGATGTTGAACATCACCACAAGGCACCCCATCACCTCTGGGGATCATGGTGGATTTGTTTCCCATGCCTGAAATAGTCTTGATCTTTCTTTACACATCTCTGGACATTCTGGGTGGAAAATATTCCAAACCTTTGAAAGCAGCTCTTGTTGTTAAATATGTGGTGAAAACTGGGCATGGCAATCTAGCAAACAACTCTAAAACTCTACTAGAGTTCAAAGCATGAATCAACCCACACTAGCGTTCCCAGGAACTCTGAGTCATTTATTCAGGGGACTTCCTAAATTGGACGTGACCATTAGATGATCAGTTGGGACATTTGTTTTTAAGGATGAATTTCTAGTATGGTATAGTATTTATCTACCACGTTTGATAACATGTTTTATAAACAAGTTCTATTTTGTACACAACCACAACCGTTTGCTAGTAATAGCTACTTCTTTGATTTCTTGTGCTTTCCATTTTAGCAATGTCATGGTTGTCAACTGTGCAGGAAAAAAAGTGGAATGCACTCCTGACTTTTCATAATAATTGTATGCAAGTTAAGATTGTATTTATATCAAGTGGAGAATGCGACAGCTTTGAAGGTATATTATTGAACATTCTTAGCAATGAGACTGGAGGCGATGTCTCAAGGTTAAGAGCAGGTACTGCCCTGGCAGAGGACTGGGGTTCATCCTAACACCCACACCCCAGGGCCTGCAGTGTCCTCTTCTGGTCTCTGTGGGCACTGACTATGCTCATGCACACACACACACACACACACACACACACACACACACACACACAAAAATAAATAAATAAAAATATTTTTAAAATAAAACACCCAGCAATGGGACACAGAAAGGGAACAAATAGGCAATACCTGAAATTTGTCAAACCGCCTCAGCCTTTTCTCGCTGTGCTGCCTGCTCTGTCTTGACTCCCTTCACCCATGACATGTATGGGCCTCTCCTCACTGCCCATTTGCCCACAGCATATTTTTACGGGATTTATCTTTTTCCCCAGAAAAACAAACACTGAGCTTCCAAAAATAGAACATAAAGTAGTATGACTATTGCAAGGATATTTTTAAGTGCTTTCAAATCTGAGGCTTGGCTTGGTTTCATGAAAGACTTTCTAGTGTTTAAATAAAGTATTTTGTAATTAGCCCTCCCTCCTCAGGCCTGTCCAAAATCTGGCTTAACTTAGAATGCCAGGAAGTCAGAGAGCACCCAGGACCAGCTTTGTAATTAATGGATGGTCAAAAATAGACACGCAGTCTTCAAGGTTTTTCCAGGAAAATCTGCTAAAGGCAGCATTTAACCTAACTGCCAGTGTTTCCGTTTTCTTATGCTGGCTGCTTTGATCATAGCGAAAATGTCTGTTGCTTAGTCCAGGTTTTATCTCTGATAAAAGCTTAAAAATGTATTCAGTTAGTTGTGTGTTTGTAATTATTACTATTATTTTACCCTTTAAAATGTATGTTTTTATCATAGATTGGTGCTCATTGTAATCTTTTTTAGATCTCCAAGTGCTTGTCATAAACTGATTGAGCATCAGTCATCTCCCGTATGCCGGCATCTTGAGACGTGTTTACCTTTTATTTGTAGAGAGAAAGCTTACATCACGTAGGAAGCAGACTCCACCCTCTGCTCCCAGGCACAGTGCACACTAAGCCCCTGAGGAGGAGGGGGCTTCACTTGCAGTTGCTGGAGCCATTGCTGATTGGCTAAAGCGCAGTCAAATATCCTTCCTATAGACATGTTCTTCCACTTGTGGGAAAGCCCGGGTTCTGTGTTTACATGACGCTGTGTGTGAACACACCTCAGGATCCTCTTAGGCCTTCTACATAGTGACTGAGTCTTAAATGCCACAACTCTGTGGCATTTGATGCTCAAGACAAGCATACGGCTCTGTGTTTGGTTATTCTGCCAAGTTCTATTGCAGCTATAAATGACGGCGTTAGAAATGGGGAGGCTGGAACTGATCAATAACATTGGACGCTTCCAGGGCGATGTGTAAGTGAATTCTGCCACTGGCTCTGTTCTCCCGCCACACAGCGCTTCAGCAGCCATGAAGATGTATCCAGATGACGATGGCATTCACTACTCTCAACACCCTTCCTTATTCGACAGGAGCCTTTTGGAGCCCTGGGAAGGCACGCCTCACATGCGTGAACCCATTAGGAGGGCCACAATTCAGAATCCAGCGTGGACTCTAATCATCTTGGGTATTTAGCATCAAGAACTCTTAGCCAGTTTCTCCTGGGGAAAGGGAGAACTGTAGAGATGAGGCCTGCCGACCTCCAGTCCACTCCGAGATTCCTTAAAATAGACGTCACAGCCTCAGAGATCAAACAGCCTTGGATTGTGAGATAAAAAGACACTGTTAGCTCCTTTGCTGTCCTCTAATTCTAGGTTTTGCTTTTCACTCACGGGAACTTTTGATCTGTTCTCGGACATATCTGATTAGGGTTAGACCAGGCAGCTGGAGGCTCCACATAACTTTCAGCACGGCAAGAGCAGCTTGACAGGGACAGAGGAATGAGTGGCCATGGCCTTCTACTTTATCAGTTTTTATCTTTGAGGTCTTTTTTTTTTTTAATGAAATGGCATATGAGTGTATTTTCTTTGAGTATTTCTACTATTTTGTTGCAAATGTCCTTTTTGTTTTATTATAGACATTAAATGCTTGTGTACATCTTTCTTCCACTGCCTTTTTTTTTGCCTCCTTTGTGTTTCTCTACTGTAACTCATTTCCTTCATGGTTTTTAAGCCCTGGCTTAATAAGTAAAACTGATCTATTTAGAACATGATTAAAGTGGCATTTCCAAGCAGCGAGCAGAGAATGACCAATTTTATAACTGATGTCGGAAAATGTTGCTATCCATCTGGAAAACATAAAGTGGGATTTTTATCTCATGAAATCTATAGAAATAAATTCCAGATGGATTAAATCTCATTGTAAAATGAAAACTATAAATATTGGATGGAAATACGGAATGCGTCCTGAGCATGTGGGGGATGGGCAACTTTCTCTGAAGCAAGACCCCAAACCCAGAAACGATTGACTGACAGACTTTTCTAGGTGAAGGCTTCACTTCTCTGAGTGCTAAAGCATGACATGAACGTACCAGTTTGAAAAGAAAGAAAAATAAACCTGGGGTAGTCAAGAAAGAGAAGGGTAGATATTGAGAAGGAAGCGCCAAAGGTGTATTTATCTGTAAAAGACTGAGCATCTAAAAGTTACTAAGACCAAGAGCATACACAAGCAAGCAAAATGCAACAAACTTTTGAACAGATTTTCCTTACAAATGAATTAAGGCCTTAAAACATGTAAGTTTGAACTTCAGAATTTTAAGGAAAGTTTCCAATGATGCTGAGAGTCATAAGTGAGGAAGTTACCAAATAGACATTCTAAGAGGCACTGAAAATTTAAAGAATCAAGTTCTCTTAAGTTCATCTGTAGACCTAACAACATCTCCACTGTGTTATAAGATCCCTTTTGCATGTATATATTGTGTGTACTATGCATGCGTGTGTGTGTTCAAAACTGTGAGCATGTGTGAAAGCCATCCCAGTTATCAGACGTCTCCCTTAGTTGCTTTACACATTTTATTCACTAAAGCAGGATCTTGCCAGGAACCCAGCACTAGCAAATTCAGTCAATACAGCCAGCCAGTTTGCTTGTTTCTACCTTCCAGCACTGGATTGCCAAGTGCCTGCCGTAGAGGAAGGCATGTTCATGTAACCTATGGATTCAAATTTTGCTTCTTGCTCTTTTAGGGCAAGTGCCTTACTCACTGGACCATCTCCCAGCTCTAAGACACTAATTTCTAGTGACTACTATTGATTTTAACAAGTCTTACATTCTAGTGACTGCTTCTTATGCTAAAATGTTTTATAGTGAAATAAGCACAAAAAATAGCTGGAACATGTTTTTAACAGACAAATGAGAGAGTGATTTCAGTATACTTAACTACATTACACAGTTACAATAGCCAAGAGAATTTGGTTCTGTCATATGAATAGACATGCCAAAAATTTGAATGGAATAAAGTCAATAAATATGCTGAACTACGTAAGGGATTTGGCTACATGATAAATCACAGGCCAAAGAAGTAGAATATTATGAATAGTTTAGGTTTTGTAAAATATTAAATTGGATCTTTACTTCAATCCATATGTTGAAAATACTTCCAGATGGATCAAGTGATTAAAGATTTAAAGTAAAAAAAAAAAAGAGGGAGAGAGAATGATGCCTTTGTACTTAAAATGGCAAGAATGACTTTTTAATAAGACATAAAACAAGGATGCAGAGGGGATTCACACAGCGGCTCATGGAAAATTACACATCATAAGAGCATCATAAGCAAAGAAATCTGAACAACAAACTAGGTCAATAGAAAAATAAACCAATTAACTGGGTGCATGGGCTTGCAAGAAGTATACCTAAGCATGAGTTTTTCAAGAACAAACAGCTCTCCCAAATAAGAAAAAATGTAAAATGCCACTGAAAACCAAAAACATGAGCAAAGGACTTAGCATATGATTCAATGCACAGTGAATAAAGTCATGAAATAAACCCCAACCAAATGCCATTTGTCAAACGAAACCTGAACTGTAAGTAAGAACTTTTCACATGTTGTACAGAAAAGGCGGCCACATGTCTTTGCCGGCGCTGCAGAAGGAGGAGGCTGGGAGAAGTAGGTGCCATTCTCCATGGGCAGTGAGGGTCCACACCTGTTCGCTTTGGCAACAGAGATGAAAATTAATATCTGTGATCTGACCTAGCAACACACAGCCTAAACAACCACCCTATGATTATAAGTATATAAAAATGTGAAAGCCGGCAGTCTCTGGAATAAGGGATAGACAATGGGAGTGTGATACCCAATCAAGTTTACAAAGATTGAGTGCTCTAAAATCATTGGTAGGAAAAAAACACTTAGAGATTTTGTTAAAATTAAGGATGGATGCTACATTGTGTGTTGCTTGTTTTGTGTTATCACCACCTTCATTTGAAAACTACTCATTTTAAAGATGGTAGACATTTCCATCTCAATTTTTATAGCTTTATGACAGATTTACTTATTGTTATTAAGGGTATGATCTTTGGTTTTGCCTGCATGGTGCATGCGCACCATATGCATGCAGTGCCTGTGGAAGCCAGAAGAGGGTGTCAGATCCCATGGTACTGCAGTTGCGGAAGGCTGTTGGGAACCAAGCCTGGTCCTCCAGAAGAGTAGGAAGGGCTCTTAGTAGATGAGTCATCTCTTCATCTCTTATGCTTTTTGCAGTTTAGGTTTAGGAATTGACAGATTTCTTCCATACATTATATAAAAAAAGCAGTTACCAAGGAAATCTTGCTACCATATAATTTTTACAAGCATCTTCTCTTCTGTATAGAAATATTGATATAATTTTATGAAGAAAATAGCAATCGTTTCTTTTTAACCCAAGAAAACAGAGGCCTTACCATTGTAACCAAGAAAACAAGAAAAAAAATCCCATAAAACACTTGATAAATCAAGGCCTTAGACCATATCAAATTCTGCTGGCCTCGTGGAGTATTGAATACATGAGAAATGAAATCATGAAGAGATCTATAATAGCCCAGAAAATCAAACTGACTAAAGGATTCACTTAGTCCCGATTGACAAACATCACAGAGATGGTGTTGTAATTACTAGTCTGACAAATCCTTACCCTCCGACATTTGTGGAGCCACCAAAACAAACCAGACAGCAATGTAGCTTTCAATTACACAGCAAAACTTATTTTCTGAAGAGAGGCTGAGAATTGAATAGGGCCCCGGGGGGAGCAGGCTTCTGAAAGCATCAATGTGTTTCTTTCCGAGTCTGTTTTCACAGCTCATCTACTCTGAGTATGTAGTCATTCTAGATTTGGTCAAATATTTGCTGAATGTACAATGGGTTGTGGTGCATGGTCTAACAGGTCATATGCAAATCTGATCAAATCATGGAGCAAAACAAAAATTCCTAAGCCAACCATATGTCAGATACCATATAGACTTTGTGTCCAATGAAGAGTCTGGGCCAAGGAAAATTGGAACTATAAGACAAATATGTTTTCTCTGTGGAGACGGTGCTCAGTTCCTGCCAATCATGTGGCTGGAAAATTCAGATGGCTGTGGTTCTGGTGTCTTGGGGGTTGTTCCTACCTTCTGGCAAAGACAGCCACTCTCTATTACTTAAGGGTTCCTACGTGACCTGCGTGACAGCTGATAGCTGGATCAAAAGCTGAAATTATGTCATCAGGTGTCTCGATTTCAACTGGTTCAGATGACTAGTGGGTTTGACTGGTTTATCTAAATCAAAGCATTTTATAGAAGCCGTGCTTACTCACACCCTGGTTGTTCTACAAGTGTCACAGATGCAACATGCACACTCTATAAGAATTCACTGGCTCTTCTGCTCAAGTACCCATGACAGAATCAGACGCACCCACGACCCTTTCTCTTTGTCCTTGCTTCTTCTTCCTAAACAGCCCTCAGTTTTGCAAGGTGTTTCTGTGGTTGTTTCTCCTCCTGCTTTCTCCTGCTATGGATAAATCCAGGGTTTTGTCGAAGAACAAAATTGAGTCAACAAACTCATAATACAAAGGGAATTTATTTGATTGACTTACAAAACACAGGCTGGAGGCTGGACAGGTCAGCCATGGTTATCTGCCCGCTAGAGAGCCAGAAAACTGACAGCTACTCGGGACATGAGGCTCAAGATCTCAGGAGTTGCAAGGCGTTGCTAGAAGCGTAGCTAGGTGTTTCCCTGAGAGTCCCTGGTCCTCAGTCTATGTTGGAGGGATGGAGATGCTGGGTTTCTGTGTTAGTGAGGGATAAGGACAGCACTAACAACAACATAATAGATGCAATTCCTGCAAAGAATACAGGCAAGCAGGCAAAAGCTGTCCTGCTTTTTCCTCAGACATATTTTTACCTGGGCTGCTGCCCCAATGAAGGTATTGCTTACTCTAGAAGGGTCGTCCCTGTCCACTCATCCTTTCGGGAAGTAATCTCCCAGAGACAACCTGCTTAGTTGATTCCAGATCCAAACACACATGTCTAAAGAACAAAATCAAAGTCTCTAAGATATTCGTAAAGGCATGCTAGCCTGGACACAATGCTTCAGCTCCATTCCACGGCACGGCAAGCAGCCTCTACCTTTCACCGAGTAGCTACCATAGCAAACTTCTTTGAACCTGTCTTCTACACCATGTCCTGGTAAGCAGAGTTTTTTTTTATTTGTTTGGGTTTTATTATTGTTGTTATTTCTCCCAGCAAACTTCCTGCAACTCCCGTTTTTACTGGTAAACTCCCGTGTAATTGCCTACAGACAGTCCTAGTGTCCAAGGGAAGAAAGAAACTCAGCAGCCATTCTGCCATCCTGGGAGCAGAGTCCCCAGTCCTGACTCTTAATTTATGAAGTTTGCATTGGATCCCCAATGGCAGGGAAGATAAAGCAGACAAGGGGCTGTGACTGCTTAGTTATCACGAACCTCAGCTACAGTTTCTGGAGAAGCAAGAAGCCCATGAACTCTCAAAATTTCCTCTTCTGGACTCTTGGATAAGCTGTGCATTTCCTCCAGTGTTCACTGCTCTTCAACTCGTACTTAGACCGCCTTGGCTTTGCCTGCTCACTGACTCCTGATCCCTACAAAGATTTTGTTTTGCTTTTCTGACAGTATCTC